TAACTAAGTCCAACTAATCACAACATTATACTAATTATTTCCATCACTTTACACATAAAGTTACATGGAAACTGTGTCTTGACACATTCCTACCTGAAACAGGATGTGAGGAAACATCAGAAAGTTTTTCCAGTCTGTTGTAACAGTGTTTTGCTCAAAGTCTTCAGCTTATATTCAGTAGTCGCAGAAATGAATCAATTCTAGCCACAGTGACAGGTAATGGAAACAAGATTCTGTATAACTGTATAAAAAGGAAATAAAAAAAGTGGATCAAAGTGTAATGTGGAACATGTCACAACCACATTTCTAGCTGCAGCTGGAGCGGTTTTAAGCTAAAAAGCTCAGAGTAATTGAATGTATGCAAATGGAAAACACAGCTAACAGGAGAGGGAATGTTGGTCTTCATTCATCGGGTGGCCAGAGAATAGGACTCCAAATGGATGCTGACGCTGCTCTGTGTCTGCAGGATGTGTAAATGTGTACAAAATTGCTTCCTAACACATTCGCCATAACAAAGTTTTTAGCTAATGATATGTAGAATTGTCATTTATTTAATGAAGCAGATGTACATTGTTGTTTAGAAAATGTGTAATCAAGGTGAAAGAATAGTTTTTATTAGAACTTTATAGCATACGGCTGACATTATTGTGGATGTAAATCCTCTCAAAAATCATATATCCAGTCAGAATAAAGTAGCGTGTCACCCAGTACACAGCACTGACCTGTTTTTATCTTTAAACCAATGACAATCCCATCAGCCTCAGCTGCACTTTGTGTTTGCAAAACTAACTTTGCCAAATTAAGATGATGAACATAGAAAATATTACCTACTTAACATTAATATGTGAGTATTAAGTATTAAATATATTTATTATTCAAGCAACAATGAAACAAAGGCTGGCTGTTTTGATTGATTGGAATTTACAGTGATCTCAGTTTGATCATTGATTGACTGTGATTATTAATCTTTAAACCTGAAAGTAAATCAAATACTCAGAGAGGTTTCCTTAAACTGGGGGTCTATGGTCTATCTGTTTGAGTGCTTGACATTAAAATGTTTGGGAACCCCTGGTCTATGTCACTGATGAATAAGCAATAGCAGATATTTGGCTATACTTGTTAGCAGGATCAGTTTATTGTTGGTTTTGGGTTTCACAGGATTTGTTGACAATGAGAGAATATGAGGGATGAAGCTGGTGATATTCAGTATTTTGATGGAAACGTAATGACACCTGTTAGACTGGGGGTTTGTTTTGGATTTCCTTATTGCTAACTTCCCTCGGTGCTAGTAAAGCTGGACTTAAATTACTCATGAGCTCGTAAACGTAAGAGAGGGAGTGTGGATGGAGGGTTACGGCGGGCCGGGACAGCCCCAGAGAACATTGCCTGTTTTTTTTTTGTTTTTTTTTTTTTTTACTAAATGTCAAGTTATGTGACTAAGTTGAACCAAGGGGGTTTGCCCCTGAGGTTCAGGTATGGCACGAAACAGACTGTACAAGTGTTTGTTGCTTTCCATGCTGCGCTGAATTACTTTCCTTCCTTCCCAGCACATAAAGAAAGTCTTCTTCTTCTCCCTCTTCTACTGATCCTTAACCCTTTCCCCCTTCTTCTTGCTATTGTAACCAGATAGGAAGTGTATCGTGTAGTGTGGCGCCTTAGAAATCATTCTGTTTCTATTTCCATTGAAATGCAGCCATGTGGCCCACATACACCCCTGCTCAGAACACTTTTTTTTGTGCTTGTGCTTCTGACAATGTAATATAAATAAGACTGGGAGAGCTGCATTCTAACACAACAGAACTGTCTCTCACTAGGACCCACACCATCCCTCCAATCTGAACTAAAACCTGAGTCAGACTGACGCAGCAGAGGTGTTGTTTCTGTACTGATGTATTTTTCTGTCAGAATGGACAAGGTGTGTGTCGGAGAGCTTCCTCACAGAGCTGAAATACACATTTTTACATCAAAATGATGACACCTGTATGTAGGACAAATGGGAGAGGGGTGTACCTTGTAGGTTTATAGACAGGAAGCAAAAAAATAGTCCTTCAGCACCACCTCCACGGCTTACATCTCCTCGTTCACTCACGCTCACACTGTGTTTTTTTTAGTAAAAGGAAAACTAGAATGCTGACAGCTGGCTCAGTTGGCCTCATTTAAAAAATAGGCCTGAAGGAAAAAGTAAAGCTAACTCTTTCATATTGACAATCCCTACCCCCCCACACACACACACACACACACACACACACACACACACACACACACACACACACACACACACACACTGACTGAGAGTGGCTTTTAAAGCTGCAGTAGGTACCTTTTATAAAAAATAACTTTTTGTCATATTTGCTGAAACTTTCACTACATCCTGAAACAGATAATCTGTGAAATAAATCAGGTTCCTCTGGCTCCTCCTAGTGCTCCTAATGACGTTTGCAAGAATCCACCAGGCCTGAAAGAAAGCAACCAGAGGCAACAAATATAGTTGTTTCATTCCCAATGCTGGGAATGAGACTCAACAATCAACTATCTTCAGGCCACCAACCCAAAGTGTGTTTCTATCTATTTTTTGGCTCTGATTGGCTGTTTTTGTTCAGGATTCTTGCAAATGCCATTAGGAGCACTAGGAAGTAGAATGCTTAGCAGTAACGTGACCACTTCAACATGACCTTTAATTGACATCATTAACAGTAAAGTGTCTGCTATGCACGCAATCGCACAAGTTGTAATCCTGTCTTCATGCCTTTTCTCTCATTCTGTTTTCTTGTAGCACCTCATCAAAGGAGTTCACTACCGTTGGGGATTCTATGCACCCAGTGGTCCTGCTTTGGATGAAATAAGGGAGATGGTGGATGCAGGGCAGGTATGGTAGCAGATTTATTCTCTAAGTGGGAGGCAGGCCTTAGGCTCCAAACTGTTTCAGGGGAGGCTCAGTGAATGGAAAAAACATGACATTAGTTCTCAAGGGGTCGAGGTTTTGAGGAATATGTCCTAATTTCCTACTTTCCCCAGTCAGAAGCTAATAAATGCCTTTGGACAGACGTTTTTATGTATTTGGTGTAGTGTGAAGTTATTTCAAACAGCAGTATCAGTCTGTCTTTGCTCAATTGTTGAGTATCTTTGGGATCAAATAACATAGTCACGATCTTATATGCCTCCAGGAATAGAACGAAACTAAACAAGTGAACTGACATCAGAAATACTTTATTGATCCCTGGGTGGGTCTTTTTCCTTTTAGTTTTAATTTTATAATCATTGTGTGCACATCAGGAGTTAAATTAGACCAGATCTGAGCTTGTCTTTCTAATATCCAGTTCGGCAACAGCATGAAATTATTGGACATTAACGACTCTGAGAAATAAACTAGTCGCATGGGTAATAGATACTGACAGCTCAACTAAAGATTACATTTTGATATAAAGTTCAGCTGAAGTTTATCTCACCCTCTATGCAGATAACGCCCCATTTATCTCTCATGTTTGAGCATGCTCCTGCAAAAGCTTCTTTGAAATAAAGAACCGATTCTTGGTTTTAGCTTACTTTGGAGAAATTGCCACAATGAAAAGCTAAAATACATGCTAGAAAAGGCCCTAAGATATTTTTTATACACACACACACACACACACACACACACAAAAATTGATAATATAATTCGTAATTGTTAAGAAACAAGGCTTGTATGACCTCTGCTCAACCTTCCTCTATCTGCTCTTAATTAGATCCAGGCCGTGGTGGATGAGACTTTCAACTTTTCCCAGGTTCCTCAGGCCTTCGAGAAGGTGGAGAAGGGTCATGCGCGAGGAAAGACCGTGGTCCAGATCAGCAAAGGGGGAGATGACTTATAGCAATGACTCTTGGTAACTGTGCGTGTTCCTGCACAATTGTGAACTAAACTGAATGAAAGCCACTGAATGCAAGGTCTTATTGTATCCACAACTGCAAACAAGGTCCAACAGCAAGGTCATTACTGAACTGTTAGTTTCTTATTTGTGTGGGTTCACTGTGTGCGTGTGTGTATGTGTCTGTAAGCACTACAGCTGCTGTTGTGTGCTTTAAAATGTTTGACATTTTTATCTTGGTTTGAATAAAAATCTGATTAAAGTGATTATGTAAGCACTGTAAATTGAAAAAAATTAAATTAAAACAGAAGTATTTCCACGTTCACACGAAGCTGCCAGTTTATTAGGTACAGCTAGTGGTCATTTACTGCAATAACCCCCCCTAAATGAAGGTTATAATGATTTAACTGTATGATGAACTGTGTTGTTTTTATGCAGAGGTTGTTTATTCTTCCTTCACTGATATAAATGTGGTGGACAAAATAATAGAAACACCTCAGTTTAAAACAATATAATTCAACAGCACCACAAACTACATCATGCTAAGTGATCATAAAGTTGAATCGACACCTCTTTTAAACACAAACTGAATATTAACACCATATACAGTAAACACAAACATCCATACAGTGTATTTGTATACAGCTAATAATGGACTTGATAACCTCCAGTAACCGTGTCTGCTTTGGCTTTGAATCATGTTGCTGGCATTTTAGAGCAAGCTTGACTGGTTCCAGTTTGTCCTCTATTGTGTAAATATTTGTACAGCTTTGTGTCAGCTATCTGAATTAAATAAAGTTTTCATATATAGGGGCAGGACAGAATAACAAACACCTACCAAAAGTTAAAGCCCTTATCTAAGTTTTTGATGTTTAAGTTTGCTTGAGAGGTGTTGCTAAAATTGGTCATTTCTAAGGCAGTAGGTGGTGCTGTTGTGAAGTGTTTTATACTGTAAGTTTATGTTTATGTTTATGTATTCTTCAGTGTGGGTGGCAGTCATGCCAAAAAATATTTGTTTATTGTGTATGCACCAGTGGATCATATCAAATGTTTTTGCCACACGTAGGTTGCTCTGGTAAAAACAGTTCCACCCCAAATTCATGGAAGAAGGAATGAGCCACTTCCCCATCAGATAAATGACTCACAGCAAGGCATTAATAAAATCTAAAGAAATGTTTTATTCTCTTAAAAGACAAGAAAGAAAGTCATATTCTTATTTTCATTTGTAACAGTTTTCTCTTTTACATTCACATATTTACAGTGGGCAGAATTGTTATTGCAGTTTTGACAATCTATACACATGATGCTTTTGTACAACCTTTAGCAGGAAAGAATAGTTGAAAAGATATCAAAACTTTACATGAGATCATTTTTGAGCACAGTAATTACAAAAAGAAAACATCTTAGTCTACTGAGATCTTTGGTGTAGGCACATTGGACTTCATATTGCAGCTGTCAGCAGACATGCAGTAGAAAAGTACCATAAAGTAAAGAGAGGTATGCAGCATGGAAACAGGGCTGAGTTCTCACTACATGCAGTGAAAACAGAGAGGAGACTTTGGTATACAGTGTTCAAAATCAAGTCGCTAAAAATAAGCAAAATTTATGTTCTGAAAAAGAGAAACCACTATTTCATCAAACTGTGTGTGAGTGCATGTTTTTGGTTGATGGTTACATTACATACATACATTACATTTGATCCAGTCAATGGTAACCCTCCTCAACAAGAGTAAACAGGAGTCACAAAGGAGTGCAGCGTTTGTGCAAAACCCCTATACCAGGCCCAACTGTGAGGTTCCACAGCAGAGCTGCATCACAGGGCTCACTGAGTGCCTTGGCAGAGCTGCAGGAGAGGCCTGTGTGGCGAGTGGAGGCTCATCAGATCACAGGATCTCCAAAGTCCACCTTTGGTTTAATTTTCTCTCATCAAATGTGTTGAGGATCACCTGGTACTTGTCATACTGATGGCCACCTAGAGAGCACAGACAACACGAGTCAGTGTCGTACTATAAAACATATTTAGACCGGTAAAGTTGTCAATAAGGAATCAGAATAATGAATACTATAATTTAACTGTCAGCTCAAAATGTGGTTCAAGCAGCAACTGCTTTTCAAAAGACAAAACAGAACTCTGTTTGCAGCGCCTCAAGGCACCAGGAGATGGAGCTGTTGGATTGGGACTGAATCTCAATCCCACAGTGAGTTGTACTGCACAGTGAGGCTCTGTGAACAAATGTTGAAAGTTAAGACAATACTAACTGACCTTTGACCTCCAGGACCAGGTCAGGTTTGAGGTGGCAGTGCACCAGACCATCTGGAGTGATGTTCCACAGCTGGTTGTCTTTGCCTCTCTCTGGGGAAACACAGAGCCTGCAGCCCGCCATCACCACGCTGCCTGTGGTCTCAAGGCAACAGTCCTCCACCAGCTGGACACAGTGAGGACGTGGTGGATGAGGAGGAAGGTGCATTAGTATTGGTTTACTTTCTTTGCTGCTTAGAATCCAGTTGAACCAGTCATATTGTGGCAAACTGCATCCTAATCTATAGAGAAACCTTCTGAAATTCTAAAACCCATTTGTTCTTTTGTCATGTTTGTTAGCACAAAAGACAAACTCTGAACTACAAACTCTCACTGGGTGCACGCCTCATGTCTCCTGTTATTTCATAACAGAAAATATTTTAAATCTGCATCAAAATACACAGTGATAGGCAGATAGTGTTGAGGCATTTTTTATTTCAAGTAAGAGCAGTAGCAAAACTGTCAAAAAGAAAAAAAAATGTTGTGGTTACGTTTAAAGTTAAGAACTTAATCCATGCTTAGCTTTCCACCAAACTGCCCTGAAAGCTGTCCACAAGAGATATCCTGCTAACAGACACCAAACAGGAATAAAAACACAACCTCTCTGGCAGGGGTCACCAGTGGTATGAATGAAGTCTGTTGGGATTACATGTTTTTTCCTGCTTCGCATATTGTCGCGATCACACCCTTGTTTCAGGTACACAGTTAACTACAACAACAGTGGCAGAGGGTAAAGTGTTTTCTCTACCACCATCTTGGTCAATATTAGACTTTAGTCTATACTACAAGTTGCTGTAGATGCTGTTTGAAGAAGTTTATGGGCTCTGTTTGCATTTTATAAGATACAAAAAGCAGTAGTAGTGTTGGTATAGGGCTGTACCTTGCAGCTAAGCTGCCCGTCCCGATAGAGCCAGACCTGCTCCACCCCTCTTGTCTCCTCCACAGCCTGAACCCTCATCAGCTTGACGTCATCCAAAGTTCCCGTCAGGGACATCATACATCCTGTCTCCCTGTTCCGGAGATGGAAGTACATCTGCTTCTGTTGGAGGGAAACATGCCAAACCACATGGTTAGATCTGATCCAGGAATACATGTCAGAGTCATTTACAGTGAGATGTGTGACTTGTTTTATTGAACTGACTGTATTTATTAGTACTGCAGTGGTTTATTTGGTATTTTAAGGATCAAATATTCCTCATTTTTAAAATTATTTTCCAGACGAGAACCTAGAACAAACGGAGACACTAACTTAACATATGAGAATAAGTCCTACAACAACTCCTTCCATACCTGCAGTAATGGACGCAGGGATCCTATTCGCTGCCAGCCGCTGAGCTCGCACAAATCAGCCACTTCACTCGGCTGCAGGAGCAGCTGCCGACCACAGTAGTTACTCCCTTCATACAACACCCACCTGGGGAGCAGACAATCAGCACTGTGTGTTAGATCAGCTTCACTGATTTGCATATAAAAATGTGGGAGAGGAACTCACAGATGAACAGTCTATATTCACAGTTAAAGCTGAACTCCATGATTTATAGTTTTAACATATTTAACTGACTTGGTGGCTTCTTCACATCTATGACATTTTTACTGCTCTTAATGAGAACAAGTCTAGAAGCTAAGCTAACACCATTTAAGGGAATTTCATGTGTCCGTGTCAAACCTTTGGCAGGAATATGAACATTTAAATGTATTTCCTTTGAACCCTTTGGAGTTTGGTTTAAGGGCGCTTGGATAAAAAAACCTACTCATTTAAATATGTATGTAAATTGCCATCCATAACAAGTTTGATTAATAATAAGTGTAAAAGTCATAATTCATAAACTCGTACATGCAACTGAAGTCATAGAAAATCCACATTGTGTTTGTCATTTGATCATTATTCAAAAAATACAATGTATACAGATAAAAGTGTTTTAAAACAACTTTCAAACAATTATAAAACATTAACTTTTGTTGTGTTAGTGTGTGTATTTTAGGACCTGTCAGTCAAGTTGGGATTAATTCCAAGGTTTTACTGTGTTTTTATAGCATTTAAAAAAGTAAAACCTACATTCCACCCTCCACCACCAGGGAGCGTATGCGTGCATCCAGGCCTGCCTGCAGCAGGTTCACAGCTCCGTTTGACAACACCACCCTGCGACCTCTACAGCCCACCTTACTGAACAGGACGATGGAGGGCAGAGAAAGCTCCTGAACAAGAAGAGTTGAATTCAATATTGGTCACCAAAAAGGCAGAGAGAGCATCACAAAGGGCCCAAATGTAACACACACACACTCACATGTCCAGTGGTCTGTATGGAGCGGATGGTAGAGTCTGTGGACAGGAAGCCCATGGCCTCTGTGTTGGGGTATTCTCCCTTCTCCAACACATACAAGTTCTCTGTGAACTGGGCTCCTTCATATGCAACCCAGCTGACACACAAAGACATTATTGTTATCATACTGTTCTTCAGTTGTCTTCAATCATCTTTAAAATCACATCTTACAACGTTTATTCAGTGTGTTTCTAAGAGCAGTGGTGGAGGAAGAATCCAGGTCCTTTACTTAAAAGGTCCAGTGTGTAAGATTTAATGGCATCTAACATCTAGTGTAGTTGCAGATCAAAATTCCCACATTTCACCCTCTCCTTTCAAACATGAAGGAGAAACTACAGTGGCTGTGAAACATGAAAAATGCAAATGGCCCTATCGAGAGCCAGTGTTTGGGTTGTTCCTTCTGGGCTGCTGTAGAAACATGGCGGTTCAACATGGTGGACTCTGGGACATCTGTCTATAGATCCTTCTGAATGTTACACACTGGACCTTTAAGAACAAGTACTCATACCACACTGTAAAATGTCAAAAAAAACTTTTATTAGTAAAAATCCTGCATTGAAAATGTTACTTAAGTAAAAGTATGTATAATCAGGAAAACATACATCATTTATTAAAGGTTTAAGTACCACATGCAGTAAAGTGTCCCCTGTGACTGTTATACTATTATATATGATAGCATTAGATTATTATTACTCTTGCATTAATATAAAAGCAGGACTTTAGTGCTGTAGTTGGTTCCTGTGGATCATTTTGAACTATACTGTATTAAATTGGAACTAATGATTGTTTTCATTATGGATTCTTTTGCTGGTTATTTTCTCTATTAATCAATATTTTGGTTTGAAAAGTTCAGAAAATAGTGAGAAATGCTGCCAAAGCCCAAAGCAGTAAATGGACCTGTACTTGTATAGTGCCTTCTGACCACTCAAAGCGCTTTTACACTAGAGCCACATTCACCCTTTCACACACATTCACGGCAAAGTCCATCAAACAGAAACTAACTCATTCATACAGCAATGCACAGCATCGGGAGCAATTTGGGGTTCAGTATCTTGCTCAAGAATACTTGACATGTGGCAGGAGGAGTCGGGGTTTGAACCCACAACCTTCTGAATAGGGTAACAGTCAAAACCATAAAACTATTACAAATACATTAAAAATAATTAAAAGGGAATAAAAGGAAAAGCAGCAATTTGCCATTTTAAATTCTATGAATTACTGTTAAACTGTTGCGTAATTAATAAACTCTTCGTCATGTTTTGTGTGAAAAAAACATGATGTAGTGGAGTAGAAGTAGAAAGTAGCGTGAAAAGAAAATACTTACTAAAAGTAAAATACAACTGAAGTACAAGTACCTCAAATTTGTACTTAAGTACATATACGTTAATATGCGTAATTACATTCCATCACTGTCTAAAAGGGTTATAAAAGAACTCAGAGATGCATGTGAAATTAAAACATGTAAATGAACTAAAAAAGAGGTTTTTATCTGGCAGAAGCATGTCTGAACTCACTGACAGCTCCAGCAGGCAGTGTGTGGTGCTGGTTCTGTTGTGCCTACCTGCCAGCCAGCACCTTGCAGGACCTGGGTGTGAAGTCCTCATCCAGAGCTTCTGTGCTGTCCTCCAGAGACACCAGCCTTCCCTGGAAGTCTGGCTCAGAGTACAGCTGCACCTGAAACATCCAAACAGAGCTCAGTGACTCAGCCAGAACACACCAGCAGGAGGGTTTTATATAAAGCCTTGAATGGAGGGATGAGGAGGGATGATACCTTAAATTTTGTTGTCCCCATCAGTGTGTCCTATAGAACAGAAAGGAAGGAGGAATGAGCATCAGCTTTGCAATGAAAGAGTGAAAATGCTTTCCATTAAAAATTACAACAAACAATCACAGTGGAAGACTCTATTTAAAGTTTTCAAGTCCCATCCTGTTTTTAACTGATGCTATAAATCCTTTCTTACGTGGAAGACGGGCTGTATAGATGAGATCTTGAAGTTCAGGGCTCCCCAGTCCTCTGGGCTTGCATACAGGCCTTTCTCCAGGATGTAGAGCTCTCCGCTGAACCCAGGCTTCTCAAAGCCCACCCAACTATAAGGAACACAAAAACAACATTCATCAGAAGTCATTTATTAGAGACAGGTCCAGGTAAAGCTGTCTCTTCATAATCACAGCACACCTTAAGAACCCTGGCCTTACTGATATCAGGGTTCCCACTCTTTTTACAAAATCTTTTTTTCCAGGACCTTTACAGGAGTTTTCTTTAAAATATAGCACAGTGGCCTATTAGAAGAAAGAGTAGACAGTGTTTGTTGCATGTACAGTTAACATTGCTGTGCACATATTTATCAACCACAACAAGCATTCTAAATTCTGCTCGCAGCTCCAGAAAAAACAGACTTGACGCCTTAAATATTTCTACAAGTTCATTCCACCTCTGGTGAATCCTTCCAACAGTCGAGTTTTTGTGATATGATTGGCTCTCTGGTTAAATCACTGTATTCAACTGTTTGCCATCATTATAAAAAGAGGAGGCCCATGCTTGTAAAAGGTTGTAAAATGATCCAGCAGGCGAATCAGATGTAAAGCAAACAGTGGGACGTTACACAACGCAGTTGATAAAGGTTAACAGCTCAAACGTGCAGCTGGCTGACTGACTGAAATCTCTTCACTGAAAAAACGTGTGCCATGTTTTATTTAAGATAAATCACTGACTTGAAAATGTATTCTAACTGTTGTGAAACTTTCATTTTGAAACCATTAAGTACTATATATATATATATAATTACACAAACTGTACAGTACGTACTGTGGTTAGATCAAGGCCTCATTTTCTTTGCTGAAACTTCTAAAAGCAGCTGGTAATGGATACCTCTAATATTAACTAATGACTCCTTATTCATAACATCAGTATAAAGCCTTGCCCTCAAGAGATGAAACCTGACCCAAATGATCCATCACGCTATATTATTCATAATTGTATCCTCTAGGGCTGTATGTGCATGTGTATGTGTGTGTGTGTGTGTGTGTGTGCGCGTGTGCGTACATATGTGTGTTTGTGTGTACAGTGACAGAACACTTAGTCATGTCTGGAAGGTGAGCAGCACAAACCCTTATAAACACTGTTGGGGTGTGGACAACTAAATGTTTCCCTCCTTCCTAATGCATTCTAACTTTGTGAGTTATCTCTTGTATTTTTTCTCTTATAATAGAAACTGTTTGACTTACACTCCACTCATGATGTTGACAGACTGAGTTTTTACACCGTAGCCGACGTCCTCCATGTTGACGACGGGACCCAACAAGTCCATGCTGAGCCCCAGCTCATCGAAGTGCTGCTCACTGAACAGTTTAGCATGGGGGGACAGGAAATCCTTTGGGAAGATAATAACACAGTAAAGTTATTTGAAAGTTAAAAGCCAGTCATCTAATTTCAAATCCTAATTGTCAAGTGTTTTGTGTCTCCAGCTGAATAAGAATCAATGGGTTGTTGTTGTTTAAATGACCTGTGAACTGTGAAGGGTGGGGCGCACAAACAGCGCAGCAATCAGAGCCAGAGATGGAAACAAGATCAAACATGAAATCTTGCAGATTAGCACTTCAATGTCAGTAATATTGCTGTTGATACTTACTGTGTCTACAGGCCGGAGTGACAGGAGACCGTCCTCTGACCCTCCCCAGTCACCGCAGTGAGGATACTCCCCCTCCTCCAGGATGTACTGCTGGCCTTCAAAGTCTGCCTCTTGATAACCCACCCAGCTACCGTACAAAACAGAGAAATATTACAAAAAAATCATAATTTCTTGCCATAACCACCAGGAAATGGTTGGCTGCCTTTCCAACCGATCAACCCCTGCATCTATTAACTCAAACAGATACTTACAGACCACCAAGTATCTTTATAGAGCCCACTGCAGACAATGTCTTCTTGTTCTCGTCCGGTTTTCCTGGTTTTTCCTCGTCTGGTTCTTCTTGCAAGTTGTACACGTTGCTGTCGACCTCTATGCACTCTCCATCAAAGTTGGGCTTCTCAAACACTAAGGCCTGTGTGAGAGAGGAAGGAGTTGAAGGTGAGCCTTAGTTGTAAACACAGGCCTATGGTAGAATGCCATTCATTACACAAATGACAGCGTACAATATATATCCTGACATATTTCACATTTGTCTGTCAATGAGAGAACAACGCGAGTCAACAAGAGAAATGTCATTTTAAATGCTTTACATGTCCGTCTAAACCTTAACAGACTAACTACTGTGGAGACGAGCGCTCTGGAGTTTTCATTCTCTCTCCACATTCAACTCAAAATATCAGAGTCATGCAGCAGTAAATACAAAGAACAACAGGATGACTCATCATCATGTGCAACTTATTTGCCTGATCTTCACAGTCCTTCAGTCAGTACAGACAGGCATTCGCAAAATAGTCTTAGTTCCTGGTTTAGTTCCAGTGGTTCCAGAGTTCCTGGAACATTCTGGTCGAAATGCGCTATTTGATACCAATTTCTAAATCATAAAAACTAACAAGGAACAATGACTCTTAAGTTTCTTTTAATCTATAAATTATTTTAGATGTACTCCAAATTCTCAGCCTTAGCAATGCTAATGCATATGCAATGCAATGCATTTTCCCCAACCCCATATGAATTATAGCCAGGCCATGAACATAATGAATCATATCAGTCAGACAAGCCTTTATAATTCAAGGTACATGCTGAATATCCACAACTAAGATTCCTTTCTCAACCATCCTGTGCCTCTAAAGGAAGCCTCTAAGGGCTAGTTAACAAATGTAACATACAAGACTGTGCTGACATTTCAGCCACTGTGTGCTTTCTATAAACAGCACATACTCAAAGAGGCAACAAATAGAACATAATTCAGAACCCACCTTGAAGTCATTAGGATGCTCCACCCTGATTGCTCCCTGTAATGAAGAGACACACATCGGTCAGACCAAGACAACTGACAATATAACAGTATAGTGCAAACATATATCCATGTTTCATGTACTGTACCATTCGGAGGGGTCTGAGAGACCCAATGAAGGGCTCAGGGAAACCCCAGGCGTCTGGGCTGGGATACTCCCCCTCCTCCAGCACTGCTACAAAACCTCCGAACCCTGGATCAGTGTACACCAACCAGCTACACACACACAGACAGCATGGGAGAGAGAGTGAGAAAAAAAGAAGGAGAGGGATGAAAGGTGAGGTCGCGACTATGGCACATGACAGAGTATGATCATTTATTGACTTCCTCACAGGACTACTCGGTTTATTTTTTCTCTCCACGCTCTTAGAAATGCAATCTGGAAGTTCTGTATAGTAAATGGTGTTGTGAACTGAATGTTATTAAATAGCCTATATGTCTCATTATCATTAAAACATTTTAATTCAAATGACAGGTAACAGATTATGAATTTTTACGACCCCATCAGTCAAAATGATGCACAACGAGAAAGTCTAATGCAACCTCTGCATGAGGCAGCTGAAAAATGTAAGTGCTAACCATCAATAATCAGCATCAGTTCAGTCTCAACCACAAGCTCTAGCCTGCAGCATGCATTCCTTTGTTGACAGAGAACAGATGCTGCACACACAATCTTTCCCATACAATCTCCAGAAAGTTCACTTTAAAACTGCTAGTTAGTAGCAGAGCTGCCACCAACAATGAACCTGAAATATGTTTCCATAGTGTAACATCCCCATTTGAATACATTCCCTGCTACTTTAAATGAGTGACACGAAAGAGCCTTTGGCAAAAGTGTCAGCTGAACTTACACTCCAGAATGGACCTTAATGGAGCCAGTGGTCTGTGGGATCCCATAGGAGCCAATCTCTACAGTGTCATCACAGTAGGAGGACATCCTCCCCAACCCATTCACCTCTGCAAACAGGTCAATTTGGGGTATGCTATAGTCCTATAAAACATGAGACATTTTTTTTAACTTAAAATTCATGTTTACAAAGGGTACAATATTATTTTTGACACTTTACTTTGAGTATTATAATTCAATCAACAATTCTACAAAACCGTTTTTTTCATTGAACAAAAGAAACCAGAAACTTAACAAGTTATGCTTTTTAAACATAAGCAGTCCTACAAAAACATCTGCCTAAATAAAACACAGTCTAAAATTGGTAAGACTATTAATTATTTTACTAGACAATTGGCAAAAAGTGCAGCTCTTAGTATTTGAAAGTTACTTATTGAGAGGGAAACATTTCAGTTGATACCAAAAAAGTATTTATATTCAATACCCAACCCTATTTAAGGTTCCACAGGTATCATATGGACCCCAGGATCTATAAAACCATTTGCATGTTGTGGAATTCTAGTAGGACAAACAATTACTATAACAACATAGATGCAGTATGATAGACCCATAAATAAATCAACCCTCGACTGCCTCAGTACTTACCCTGACTGCCAATCGGATAGAACCTATGACCATAGGTGCTGTTGGCACAGGCTGACCCATCTGGTCTAATGTTGTTGGAGTTCCCTCTTCTGCCCACATATTCACTATCTGCTCTGTAGGACCTTCTTCAAGGGCAATGATACGACCCTGGAAGCCAGGTTTTTCATAGAGGAGCCAGCTAAAGAAAAAGAAAGTTATATCATCAATAACAGGAGATATTTCTTATGGATGGCTGGCTCCATCCATGGACTTGTTTAATGGATAATTAAAAAGCTCCATGGACAGCTCTATTAGATACATGCCTATAAGGAAATAAGAGAAACAAAGAAGTTCTCACCCTCTATGGTTTTAGTGAATTACACTTCAACATCAACAGCATTCATTTTAAATCTCAAGGGACTTTAGACCAGCACAAAGACCCTTACCATCCTCTGATAACTCTGACTGAGATGATCGGTGACAGCTTCAATGTGGTGGTGTCCTCTAAATCACAGTAGAGTTCAAACGCTTCCCCTCCAAACTGAGCATGTTCATGTATGATGATCTGGATTAGGAAGAAAAATTAAAGAAAAATATATAGCAGCCAACAATGTATTATTGAGACAATCAAATCAAAAATTCAAGTAAATAACATGTAACTGTACCTTGCCGGGCCTCTTGTGGAACCCTCTTACTGCAGGTATCTGAAAGAAAATTGATTATTTGGATTATAAACTTGAACATGGCTTTGGAAAAAGACCCCAGTCTCTAAACACTTTCTCCCAGTTCTTGTTACTAAAACTGGGTGGAAACGTCGTTCAAGCAACTACTTTGGATTTAGAAATCCCCAGACGATTACTTAACAATACTGATGACTTTTAGCTAACTATTTTAACTGTTTACTTTAAGCTAACTATTTTAACCGTTTACTTTTGGCTTACTGTTTTAACCGTTTACTTTTAGCTAACTATTTCAACTGTTGATCCATTATTTTAGCTTTTTCACTACAACCTTTATCCATTACGCTAACTGTTTAGACCCCTCTGTTCATGTTCATGCATATAATGTTCAGGTGTTGCAGTTCACTCAATATGTGGATTTAAAAAAAAAATCTAATTGAAGATTTGTCAAATTAATTGAGCTACTCTACAATCTTTCCACATATCCTCCAGCAACTGCCGAAGTAGCCCCTGTGGTACAAGTGCCCCTGTTTGAGATTCATTGAGGTAGACATTTTGATTAAAAGAAACCAAAATAATTGTCTTGCATACCAAGGGTCTAAACGGAAAGAAATAAACATGTCGTGGAGCAAGTATTACATGCCAACAATCTAAATCTAATCTAAAAACAAACAGTTTTTTGCATAGTTCTGCCTTATTTGCATGTTGATGCAAATATCTTATTGTGTCGAGCTTTGGCTGATCTTGGCCAAGAGTTGTGCAAAATTCCACACTGAGGACATGCTCCTAGTCTCTCCTGTTCTCACTTGCAAATGATTCATGATTTCGCAATGGCACGACAAAACAAAAGGATACAGGATATGAAACATCCTAAGATATATCACCATAACTAGGAAATATCAATGCTTTGTGTAAAAGCTTAGCAGGTCAAAACCCATTCAGGATTTAGGCGGTTACTTCTTACTAAAGACTGTAGTAGCCTAATATTTAGTAAAAGAAAAGAAATTAACTGATTCCACAATTATTGAAGTTCTCCAATTAAAATATTAACATTCCTACCTTAGTCTTAGAAGTTGAATGTCCATTTCGAGAAGTCTGCTGGCTGTAGTTGCTGGTTGGAGGCAGTCCTGCAGGGCACTTCAGGCCCACATCCACATTAGGTGCTCCTGCTTTTGAGGTTTTGTCCATCACAGTACTCCCCTTAGGATTCAGTGTAGTTTTAGTCGTCTGTGTAGAGCCCTGGGAGGCCTCAGATTCTCTTTTGTTCTTCTTGAGGTATTTCTCTAAATGATCAGGCAACTTTATCTCCGAGAATGAGGGCATAGGAGGAGGAGGAGAGGAGGGGCTGAGTGCTGACTCACTGACTGTACCTATACCACCACCCACAAGTGAGCCTTGATCTATGCCTTTCGCACCCTCCTTATCTGCTTCAGCGCCAGGCAGAGGTGAATCACCAACTCCCTGCTTCCCCAGCAAGGGCAGGTCCTGTAGTTGGTTAGATGAATGCGTGTTATTTGAGGCAGAGGTAGCTTCCTCTTTGGTCTTCCTGGAGGACCGAGGAGAATTCAGCAAGCTCGAGAGGATGGACATCCTTTCAAGTCGTGACGTCAGCTTTCCAGGCTGTTCTCCATTGTTTTGTTGCTCTTCTTTTCCTGCATCAATATTTGCCCCCTCTTTGATTCCAGCTTTTCCTTCCACCTCATCAAGCGATTTAATTTGGTCTCTAGCTGTATGCATGTCATTATCTTGTGCACGTTTTTCCAGGGTCCGTCCTTCCCTATTAGCTGCTTTTTGTTTAATCACCATAGCTGGTGAAGGATCCCTAAAACTTTTGCTATTTTTCCTTAAGCCGAACTGGAATTGCTCTGGATCAAACGTTCTCTCGAAACGGTCTTCCTTAATGGCCGGCATGGAAAAAGGTGGGGACGGGGACTTTTTACGGATGTGCCTCTTTGGAGGTAGTGAGAAAGGAACGCTGCCCTCCTTAATGCTCCTGATAAAATCATCAAAGTCATCAGACTCAAGAGATTCATCCTCACTGGCTGAGGCATTTAGTCTTCTCTTGTGTTCCTTCTTCTGTTTTTGATGATATTCAACATCTAACCAGCTAGATGGAGATTCCTTCTTTAGCTGGAGACTTAGAGACGGACTGGGTGGTTTCACTGTAGCAGAAAGAGACGAACTGCCATTGAGTGTTGGCTTTGAAGGCTTTTGTGGATCACTGAGGTTCATGGATTTCTCTTCCTTTAAAGTCTGCAGTTCCTGTTTCAAACTGCTATCTGTTTTTGTTTTTTCATCATTCTTCTCAGCATCAGTACTATTAAGTACTTTATCTGGAACAACACTGGGCTTATCCTTTTGTTTTCCACCGCTTTTTTGGTTAGATGCATCCTTTACAAAAAGTGGTTCTGCTGACTCTTGCTTGGCATTTATCTTTGATGGCTTCAGCTGCTCATCCTCCTGCTTTGTCACTTTATTTACACTCTCTTTAATGAGGTTGTTCTGTTCCTGTTTCGTATCAGTCTTACTAGCTTCTTGTTCAGTTGTGAAAAGACTTGACTTTTCATGTAATTTGGTATCTTCTTTCATCTTTAGAGATTCTTTTGTTATAGTCTTTGGTTCCTGTTCTATGTTAGCAGCACTTGGACATTTGGATTGTGTTGATTTGTTTTTCTCTGGTTTTGTACTGTCCTTATCTTGGACAACAATTATGGACTTCTGGTCTTGCTGGATACTAACTTTGCTGTTAGCAGTTATAATTGCAGTCTCATTCACCAAACGCTTTACTGGTGAGGCTTTTGTTTCAGTCTCTTCTTTACTACCTTCAGCACGCCGGGTTTCACTTAGGTCTTGAGTTGTATCCATTTGTCTTTCTGTTGTCTTCTCCGTTGCTTTTTCAGACTCAGGTTGCTGTTCGAGGTCAGCATTTGGACATTTGGATTCTGCTGATATAGAAGAATGTTCCTCGGTTTTTTCAATGTCCTTGTCTTGGTTTCTAGCAATTAAGGCCGCCTGGTCGTTGGGGCTACTGACTTCAGTGTCAGCAGTCTCATTTGAAATTTCATTTGGTAATTTTTTACCAAATTCCTTTGTTCCACTCTCTTCTTTTGTGCCTTCAGCACTTTGAGCTATAGTGCTTAAGGCTTTAAGTTCTGGACTCTCTTTTACAACGTCAGTGTGTTTGTCCTCCTGATTTGATTCATGATTCCTGACCTCCTCATCTTTGTCTTCATCATTCTTCTCGGCATCAGTACTATTAAGTACTTTATCTGAATAAACAGTGGGCTTGTCTTTTTGATCTCCACCACTGTTTTGGGAGCTAGATGCATTGTCTCCAAAAATTGGTTTTGACTCTTGCTTGGTATCTATCTTTGATGGTTTCATCTGCTGATCCTCCTGCTTTGTCACTTTATTTACATCCTTTTTAATTATATTTTTCTTTTCCTGTTTCGTATGAGTCTTACTAGTTGCTTGTTCAGATGTGAAAACTGTTGATTTTTCAGTTTTGGTATCTTCTTTAGTCTTTGGAGATCCTTTCGTTACAGTCTTTGGTTCCTGTTTTAGGTTGGCATTTGGACATTTGGATTTAATTGATTTAGTTATCTCTGGTTTTGTAATGTCATCATCATGGTCCCTGACAATTATGGATTTCTGATCTTCCTGGATACTAATTTTAGTCTTAGCAATCGTAATTGTAGTCTCATTCTCCAAAATCTTCATTGATGAATCTTTTGTTTCAGTCTCTTCTTTACTACCTACAGCACTCTGGATTTCACTTAGTTCTTGAGTTGTATCCATTTGTAAAACTTCTTCTTTTGTCTTCTCTGAAGCCTTTTCTGTCTCAGGTTGCTGTTCTACGTTAGATTTTGGACATTTGGATTCTGCTGATGTAGAAACATTTTCATCAGTTTTTTTAATGTCCTCTTCTTGGTCTTTAGCAATCAAGGTGGTCTGGTCCTCTTGGCTACTAACTTTAGTGTCAGCAGTCTCATTTGTAATTTTATTTGGTAATTTTTTATCAAATTCCCTTGTTTCACTCTCTTCTTTAGTGCCTTCAGCAATTTGAGCTGTAGTGCTTATGGCTTTAGGTTCTGGAGTCTCCTTTACGTCAGTGTGTTTGTCCTCCGGATCTGATTTATTATTCCTGACCTCCTCATCTTTGGTTAGAAGTACTTTGGGTTCCTGTTCATTTTTTACTGTTGATATGTTCATCTGTGGATCCATTTCCTTATTGAAACGTTCTGCATTTTCTTTTAAGAGTATCCCACATTCCTGTTTTGTATAGACGACACTGGTAGTATTTTCATGGAGTGCCTTTTGTGCTTGCTCTGTCTCTGTCTCCTTCTCTGGTAGAGCATTTGTAACTACCGTCTGTGGTTCTTCATCTGGGTCAGGCTGTAAACATTTCTCCTCTGATGATAGATGTGTTGGTTTCTCTGGCTCTTTAATGTCTTTCTCTGCTTCATCCTCGATAGTTATACCCTTGAGCTCATTTTTGCAACTGTTCTGTGAGTCAGTGCTTTCCATCGCTGCGTCATCCGGCCTTTCATTTGGTTTTGAGTCTTTCTCCTGCCTTTCAAATTCTGCTCTCAGTAAAAGAGACTCTTTGTCCGGTTGATTTTCAACATTCTTGGGCAATTCACAAACAGTCACAGTCTCTGTTTGAATGTCCAAAGACTCTACTGGTTTCCTGCCAACACCCTCTTTACTTTTCTCCTCTACCTCAGAATCTTTTACTGCATGTCTGCTGACTGTGGGCAATCTATTATTTTCAAGAATGTTATCTGTGGTTTGATCCTTTTGCTGCTCTTTACTGGCCAGGTTAGCATCAACTGAAACAGTGCCTGGAAGTACATCTTTTGGCTCAACATCTTTGTCAGAAGTTACCTTATTTGTTTTTTCAAGGGAAACACTACCAGGCATAACTTCTTCCTGCTCAGAGTCAGTCATTATGTCACAGTGAATGCTGTTAACCAAAACAGGTTTGGCTGACATATCACTTACATCCTTTTGAGCTGGTATTATGTCCTGAGCCAACACTGCTGAAATTGGCTCTTTAAGGCCTGGCTCCTGAATTAAATCTAGTTTTATATTACTTATTAACTGGGTTGCCTCTACAATGTCTTTCCCTTTTACTTCTTTTGGACAAGGTTTTGGTGATAACGATGTTTCCTGTTCCTGTGGGGTGTTGTCACGTTGAATGTGAGATACATTTTCAGGTGGAGGCTCACACTGTCCTTCCTGGCTATCAGTAACTGGCGACTGAGATGGACTTTCCTTGACAACCTCAAGAGGCAATACCTCAGCTCCTGGGCCTGTGACTAGTGTAACTTTTGCTTGAGTGGCTTCTGTAATAATTGCATTGTTGTTTTGAATTGGCTGGATTCCTGAAAGCTCTTCAATTGTAGGACTGGTTATGCACTCCTCTAATTCCTTTGTCTCTTTTCCTTTCATTTTGATTTCAGTAGTACTGGCCTGATTCACTGTGGTTTTCATTATGCAACCTTCTTCCTCTGTAGACAGTGACTTGAATTTCAATCTGTCTCCACTGGCACTGTCCTTCACCTGATCTGCGATGGCACTCTCAGATTCTTTGACAGTTGTCTCTGTGTTAGTGTTCTGATTTGAGTCGTCCTGTACAGATACAGATGTGCTTGCAAAATTCTCAGGTCCTGAATTTTTTTCAGATTTTACTTTGTTGGAGCTTCTCTGACCTCTTGTAGGAAGCTTGCTAACAGATGATGGTGGATCAGCTGAATCCTTTGCTGAGCTTTTGTGGTGTTTGATGTCGCTTTGTTTGGAGAGCCTTGATAAGACAGTTTTCTCTTGCTTGGTGGGAGGTGGAGAGACACACGTGTCACTCTCTTTATGACTAGTGCTTCTTTTAGAGAGGGGTTTGGATAGTCTTGTTGACAGCATGCTTCCTGTTGGACACACACACATGCACAGTTTTAATACAAAAAATCCGAACAATTTCAAATTACAAAAAATGTCCTTATTGCGCATATTTGGTTTATTGTCAAGAGTTAGAGTAGAAGATTGATGACACTACTATATCTGTGCTTTAAATATGAAGCTGGAGCCAGAAGCTCGTTAGCTTAGCTTAGCATAAAGACAGAAAAAGGGAAAAGAGTCCAATGGTAACAAAATCTGCCTGCCTGCTTATTGTTGGATTCATTTGTAAGTATACATAATCCATTGTGTTGATAAGTTTGTGAGTATTAGATTTGTGTGAAGTTATACTGTGTTGAAATAAATTAACAAAACATTCTCCTTGCTGAATGCTCTGACAGATTCAGAATTATTACAGATTTTCTAGTTAGTATTGCCGTTGTTCGGGGGCAGCTCTACTTATTAACATGTTATATCTCATTCGTTCAATCCATACAAAAACAAAAGTGTATTAGATCAATAAAAAAAGCAAATAAGCTAATTTCTAAGAATGTCAAACTATTCCTTCAACACATGAATATTTAAACCTCAAAATGAACTGTATCTACAAAAATTATCTTTCATTCACTGTCAACAGAGGCATCCAAGGATTTTGCTACGATGACAGGGTCCAGTGCTGCAACTGCCTGATTTAATGTCTAGCATACAGTACATGTTGTGATTGTGCCGTCTTACCTTTCTTGGGACTTTCAGGGAGTGGGGGTGGTGTCTCACTACCAGGTCTCTCGCTAGGAGTTACTTCTTGCTGCTCTGGATTCTGCTTCTGGGCTGCTTTGGGTCTGTCTGAGTCTGTCTGACTGGATGTTCTTTTTTTATAGTTAGTGCCACTTGTTTCAGTTACCTCATTGTTCCTCTTTCTTGTCGGAGATGAAATGGGCAACCGACTATTTGATTCCAAGGAGGGATTATTCTCCAGATGGTTTTGCTCTTGTTTTTTGACATCCAGACTCTCCCTGTCAGTTCGGGGTCCTGTTTTATCACTACTCTCCACATGGTCTTTCTCCACACCATTTACCAGGTTTAAAGAGCCACTGTCCTCATCTGACCTTTCTTTAATATGCTTTGTTACTGCCTTGTGTGTGGTTTTTGTGGGAGAAATGTCTCCTGACAGAGCTTTCCCTCCCTTGGCTTCTTCAAAACTTGGTTTCCTGCCAGTTTTGGTTGTAGTAACCGGAGATTTCAAAGATTCTTTGGTTCTGGGTTGTTTCTGCAGTTTGGAATTCACCACTGACCCTGAGGCATCAGTCACTGATGTTTTATCTGGTGTTACTGGTGATTTCACATCAGCATCTGATGTTGACCTTTTGGGGATTTTAGACTTTGAACCCCCACTGGGGCTTTGGTCTTTTACTGCTGGTAACATAGAAACTGTCTTATCACTGCTATGCTCCCTCTGTGATGGAACATCACTGGATGTTCCCACTTTTACACTCTCTGTGGAGGGCTTATCCTTTTTTGTCACATTTTTGGCCTTGCTGCCAGCTGCTGAGGATGGGGTCTTTGCTCCACTTGCTGCTGTATGCTGACTTTCTGCTGCTGATTTAAGCCCTCGTTTGGAGAGTGAAGCCTGGTTTGTGCCTTTTACCCCAGACCCCACTGCTTGTGACTTTGCTCTGTACATGTCCGAGGTTGCAGAGGTATCATCAAAGTCAGAGGCCTCAGAATCAGTTTTGTCCTTAACTACTGCTTCAGGACTATTTGTGTCAGAGTTTGTAGTCCCATCTGTTGCTGAAATTGGCCCAAGGTCAGCTTCCTTGAGTTCCACATTCTTGTTTTGGAGGCTTGGCAGTCTGAAGGGAGAGGAACAGAAATATTTTAGAGCAAACTTAATAACCACATACCTAAGAGTCTTTAAATAAGGAACGATAGATACTACATTTAATTTTCTTTTTCCTCTTGGAATGATGAAGTATCTATGGCTGAGAAGAAAATATGTGGCTGGAGCCAGCAGCTGGTTAACACAGCTTAGCATAGAGACTGGAAACAAGGGGAAACATCTAGCATGGCTCTGCCCAAAGTTAACAAAATCTGCGTACAAGCACCTCTAATGCTAACTAATTAACACATTATATCTTATTTGTTTAATCTGTACAAAAACTTAAAAAAGCTGTAGTTCTAGGGGGGGTTATGAGCCAAACTATTCCATGGCTGGCACATAACCCCCTGTAAAACAGCAAAGTATTTTACTTCAGTTCTCGTAAAAGTATCCCCTGCGGTAGTTCTCAAACTATTTTTTTTAGGTATGGCCATCCATAGCCTAGAGTGCACAGTAAATCATAAGGTACTACTAGATCATTCTTTCCTCTTTTGAGAGAAGCATCTGTACATATTCCATGCCTTTTATCTATAGGCATTTGTCTAAGTGTAACCATGTAACCGTAAAATCAAACAAAAGAGTACAGGCGGTCTTGTAATGACTAACTTATTCAGGTAGTGAATATACACCATAGGTAAACACAATAAAGGTGACCTTAATTTCAAATGAAACTTGACAAAAGGAAAAATAATCCTGACATCATTATTACTACATTTATTTACTATATTTATTTAGTAAGTAACAAATACCTTTTAGGAATTTTAAGCATCATCTACAGTACTTTATAGAAAAAAGTCACTGTTTTTGTATGATTAAATGTACTGTAGATGAATATTTCAGTGTGGGTTTAGCCAGTATTGTTCTCCTCTGGCACAATGGCGCATGGGAACTCAGAGCTCAGGTTGCATGCAAGCTTAGCTCTCTCTAGCCTCCCTGCTTCCTGTTTCTACCAGGATCAAAGGGACTACTAAACAGTAACCACAGAAAATTAAAATGGGCAGATACTCACGCTTTTACTTCTGTCGTGTCTGAAGTCTTTAAAGTTGAATCGCTGCTGTTCTCTTCTCCGGCTGGTTCGTTCCCATCCAAACTTGGCTCCGGGCTTACGTACACCTTTTGGGCAAAAACCTTGTTCTTCGAGGGCAGATTCACAGTCTTGCGCGTAACACGAAGCTCTCTTGGTCTGCGTTTCCTTGACTGTGTGCCAGTGTCGGGCTCCTCTGGCTGCGGTACGTTTGTTTGGGACTCCAGTGCAGTCGGTGCCAAGGAGAGGGCTGATTCTGGCAGGCTGCCACTGGACGGCAAAGTCTCTGAGGGGGAAGAAGGGCTGTCTGCAGCTCCCTGAGTTACTGGGTCGTCCTCAGGAATTACTGTGACAGGTATAGCCAGCACGGGAGGCGAGTCTGCTCTGAAGCCCTCCTCCCCTTCCTTCATTACATCCTTCTCCTTCCCCTCCTCCCACTCCCCTTCCTCCTCCTCTCCCAGGTGTGTTTCCACCCATATGGCTTTGTGGAGTTGGACAGGAGAATCACCTCTGGGTACTTGCTCTTTCTCTGGTGAGGGGCTACATCCTGCGGTTACAGAGTCCCAAGAGAATATCTGACCCCTCCTCTTGGCTCCTGAGTTTTCTCTTGATATGACTGGCGAGTCTCCATCTTCCTGTCGAGTCCTGATGAGCTGTGAGGTGGACGACTGAGAGCCTAAAGTTATTCCTCTTAGGGAAGTGCTGTGTCCCTTCTCTCCAATTTTCACGGATGCTTTCTTTGAAGCTAAGCTTATAGAGGTTAAATTAGGTGACTTTGGACCCTCAGCTGCAACAGAAAGGGGGATTTTAAATGTCGACAGTGCTGTCTGGTTAACTGCATTATCCTCCCTGGAGCCCTCTGTAGTGTTATGGATACTTTCTTCCAAACTGACATGCAGCCTCCTGCTTACTTCCTCCACCACTGACTCTGCAAAACCTAATTCTGAGTTCAGATCAGCACTTAGACAAACGGTGGCAGCAGGGTCCACAGTGGTGGGAGTCACATTGCCAGAATTCCTTTCTCCGCTGTCTGTGCTGACCCTGCACACAGGCACCTCCCTCACACTGCTTCGGCCACTGCTGTTACTGTCTGCGAACGGGACGTCTGCATCATTGGTCATTAGAGAAATCATGCTTGAAGTGCTGGGACTGGAGCTTTGGCTGAGCGTTTCAGGTGCTCCTGTTCTGCTCTCTGCATATTGAGGGCTCGTTAGCTCACTGTCTTTTCGAGAAGGAGTAGGAGTCTTTAGCCCATCCTCCTGTTGAGACTGGGGTAAACGTGGAGACAAGGGGGATGTTGGGGAACTTGCATCGCTGGAGGCTTCTGAATGCCGCCTACTACTGCTCTTCTTTCTCTTGGACGAGAAGAAGTTGCTGAGGCGATCAAACACTCCCTTCTTCTCCTCGGAATTCTGAAAGAGGACAGACAAGAAGCAGACAGAAAGATAAATACTGAGGTGGCGAGAGCAGCTGGCATACCCACTAAAGAAAACACAGAATGAAAAGTAAAAAGGTGTGCTCTTGTGGGGGCCGAAAGCGAGAAGAGAGAAAAACTGACAAATTCACTATAAATTTCCTTTGAGGAGCTGGAGATAAAATCGTGTCCATAAATGACCTGCACCCACTCAATATGTTTTAAAAAAACTATGAACTAACTATTCAAATAATAAAAAATGTCAAATAGAAATTGTACAAGATTTGGATGTATGAGTTCAGCAATGGAAAACAACATATCAGTTTCTGAAAAGAATATGCATGGAAAATACAGATGCATGGTTTGAGACAACATGGCAAAAAACTCTCATTTTTAGAAATCTTTTTTGGGTTTTGCCTATTGCTAAATATATTATGGGGGGAAAATGACTGCAAAAGAATATTAGATTTAAGTTTGAAACTTACAACTTAAAGCAGTAAGTAACGTTCATAAAAATAACTTTTTGTCGTATTTGCTGAAACTTTCACTATATCCTGACAGTAGTACATGAGAGAAAAATCTGGTTCCTCTGGCTCCTACAGGTCTCCCTAATGGTATTTACAAGAATCTACCAGGCCTGGATGAAAGCAACTAATCATTACTAATCACTAAAGGTTATCAATCAATATACTATGTATATACAAATGATGTCTTGTCTGGTGTCTTTTCTTTCTTTTATCAGTATTGTGTGTTCATAAAAAGTCATCCTTGATTTTGTTTATATTGTCCACAGTTCCCCACACCTTCTTAAATATCAAATTCAAGGGCTTTTCAGGCCCAATTCAAGGACCCAACATTTCCAATGCCTATTAAAAGAGTTACAAGTTAGAGAGTCTCTTAAAATCTGTAGACAGCCCAAACTAAACCAAGCTGTAGAGGTTCAATGCAGACACGCTGGTGCAAATAACAACATGCGGTGTGGTAAAACAATCAGACTGCAGTGGGATGATTAATGACAAACTAGACAGATATAAAACTTCTTTGATGCTCAGCTCAAGGGTTACTTAAGTTATCACAGCTACCAACTGTACATAAACAGTAAAATAATGAAGTCGAACAAGACTGGCTCAGGTCCAAAAAAGCCTAATAATCATGAGAACCATGAGTTATTATAGCTTTGTGTTTTCCATCAGTTTTTATTTTTGTTTCATTTTTGATTTTTGTTTTCAACCCAGACAGAGTTTGCTTGTTTCAGTTTAGTTTTTATTGTTTCTTTATGGGTCAGTATCCATTTAAATGTTTTAATTTACAATATGGGGGTATACTGACAAGGACTAAAACTAAAGATTCCCAGTATATTTATATTTATATTTAATTTCAGTTTGTTTATATTTTTATTCAGTTAACTAAAATATTTTTCACCTCTAGTTTTAGTTTTAGTAAATATTACCAACTTTGCTGAGACCTATATCATTATTTAACATGCCGTAGTGACCTCCAACTGTTGGTAGTTAGGTGGTAGTCAGTTATACACCACATTTTGTGTTGCCGTGGCACTTATTAACAGGGTCACAGCCATGAAGATACAAAGGAGAAACACCATGCCAACATAAAACACACCTTACAAAACTTGACTAACTCTAGTCACAGTACAAAGAGCACATGTTAGGGCAAGAAGCATGAACCGCAGTGAAAAAACGACAGTTACCTACCATTTCGACTTCCTGGTCTCTATTCCTTTTAAGTTCTGTGTCTAATTAATGCTTAGATTGCAAAAGTAGCAGGAGGAAGAAGTAAAATACATAAGTAGAAGACATAATGATCCCTAGAACGAGCCTTAAACTAGGTAGTTAAAGTTGTTCATAACGTTAAATATAAAAGCCAGTGTCCTACTTCTTTAGCGGACTACATAGAAAATAAAAGTGAGTCCTCTCTCATGAGCAGACAAGCAGTACTGGCTGCAACGACTTGTGTTTGTCTACAGTTTAGTGTCCCAGCTCTCAAGTGTCTGACTTGAGGGCATGGCCATTTGCATCACAGCTATAGTGCAAAAGAAAATGATTGTGAAAGATGGTTCACATGGCAAACAAGTAAAAAGAATTCACAATCCACTGAAAGGGTGTGGACAGACCTGCAATAGAAAACCCCACCCTTCCTCATTCTAAAGCTCGACTAATCAATGGGACAACTGTTATCTGCTGTGCCTTTATTTAACATGAATTCAGGTTTTACGACTCATTAAATCTATCATTTAGATAGGAACTATAGGGTGTAATGGGCCAATGGTTCCTAGTGCTTTATGAGTAAGTAAATGCATGTGCAATCTGTGTTTATCTTAACTGCTCAGAGAGTTTAATGTGAATATTTCCTGAGTACAAGTTTCCTGGGATAAAAACCTGTTTCGACACACTCTCCAGTGTTGTCAAACATTCACGTAATTTAACAGAGCAAACAGTCAAAGAGTCTGAAGACGCCAGGTTATCCCACTTCATGTCTGAATAGAATGAAACACAGAAACCTTACTGAATAGCCTCGCTCGGATCAAGTATTGGTGTTGCTTTGATATGTAGTCAAAGCAGTGATACCGTACCTCCAGGCTGTTTCAACTCATTCAAAATCCTCCTTGTTGAAGTCAGTTTAAAAAGAGCATAAATTAAGTATCCTTAGGTCAGTGTGTGTTTAAGTCTTGAATGGCTACCTGTCATCCTTCCAGCTCTCCAATGAGCATTCCCCTTTTATTTACTCATAACAATGACAAATATCAAGTAGGTGGAGATATTGTACCATATCTCTGTGCATTATGGCCAACTTCCTTATCTGTCAGCCAAAGCTCTGTTTTCTTCTGTGATCTCAGCAGCAGATAATGATAAAGGCACACACACAGGAATAATGATATTGATCTTAATTACAATTAATATTTTTCGACTATAAACCTAAAACATTGATAAATCTTTCTTATTGTTATACACTAAATACGACATACTAGTATACTTGAAATCGTTTAATAAAGGTGGGAACAGACTCATCAATTCTTAACATCAACTGACACAAATATTCCTGAGAGCGGGTTTGACAGGTTTGAGTGTATGGAGAATCGCCTAAGGACAATGAGATCCCATAGGATTACCAGCATGTGTATCTTATCTTAAAGGGGAAGCACACGTTTATAGCCTCTACAGTCTAATCATTCTCTGAGCCTTTACTGTCCCCTACAGTCAGAAATGAGAGTAAACGGTCTGAAATTGGTGATGTCATAAACTGGAAAGGAAAATTAAACATGGTCATATCCTTGAGTAAACATGGAACCTGCCCGAGATACTGATGGAAAATCAGCCACATAAAACACGTACCATTCTTACTTTAGCTGTGTCCTACATATATTCACTTTTGACTGTACAGGTACACAAAGCATACCTCTATACTGTATGCTGCCACACCTTCTTCCACTTGTGACCCAGTTACACTTATGGACACACTAATTGTAGTGAAGGTATAAAATAAAGTTATTTTTTCTTGCTAATCAAATTATTTAATGCTAATTTAATTATTTAGTAGAATAGCTAGCATCAGCATAATAAACAGCCTCGCACAAAATCTTCACTCATTGAAAGAACAGTACTACTGCAACTCGGTGATTTAAAATTTCAATTTATACTTTTTTATTGTGTAACAGTGCATCACATTCCAGCTCATCATATGTATTAAAAATCTTTGTCAATAACGAGTAACTACCACTGTCGAATTAATGTAGTAAAGTAAAAAGCACAATGCTGCCTCTGAAATGTACTGGAGTAGAAGTATAATTTAGCATAGAATGCAAATACAGTAAAGTTCAGGTACCATAAATCTAAAATTGAAAACGTACTTGAATAAATGTTTGGCAGATTCTACTCAATCCAGTTCTTCTGTTGCTCTCAATGTAATTATTTACGCAGGAATAGACATAATGGCTAAGAACAGAAGGACAACAAGGTAAGTAGAAACAAGTAGACAAAGGTAGAAAAACTCCAAGCGTAATAATTCAAATATACTCAGTATGTACCAGCAACAATGCTCATTTATTTTGCTTCTGTTACTGTTGTTACCATTTTAAATGTATGTCTGATAGTGGGATGATGGGCATGGGCCTGAGGAAGAAATATTGGCTGTCAATGCGGATTCTACTGGGTACATTATTAATATAAGAAAAACCATATTACTATTCAGGTAGACAACTAAAACATGAAGCTAAATGAAAAAAAGTCAGTCTTTACAGTTGCTGTAAAAACAGGTATAATACTGCAGATACTGTTACAATACTGTAAATGCACACACATGCGCACACACAAACACACACACACACACACACTAACCAGTAACATCTTTCTACTATCTGATACTATCTTTGCAGCCTGACGCTGATGAAAAATGTGAAAATGAGTTAATAAAACAAACCTTGGAGAATTTGGAGGGTGAAGTTGGGTTGTAAGGCTGAGTCATGTCAAAGCTGATCATGGAGGAGGACTCAGAATAAGGGTCCCAGTCCGATTCAGTCCGGAAACTGCACTCTGTGGAAACACTCATCTGGTCGTAGCTCCTGGTGGAGAGAGGCAGGAAACAGAGAGAGAGAGAGAGGAGGGGGAGACAGAGAGGATGTTATGTCATTGGGCTTTTGTTTCTCCATACAATATAGAGTGCCCTATGTTTTTACTGTACTGTGCTGTGTAGTCATCGAACTCCTGAAGCCAGTTTTGAGAGATATCTCTTTGAACATGTACTGATTTTCAATAGCAAATTTAGTTTTTTTGTGAAAATAAGAAGCCGTGTTGGTCTGGTTCAAAAGGTTACATATAGGACCATGGGCTGTCCCCAGTCAGTGTACACATAATGTTCCTCATGAGCAATATAAATATAAATACCTTAAACCACACGTTAGTGTTCTTAAAGCTGCAGTGGGTAACTTATATATATTTACCACCAAGTATTGCTGCTTTGAAACTTAAAGCTGCAGTGATGGCTGTAGTAACTTCTACAAAAAAAAACTTGGTCTTTGGGACCCTGGGAATGAGACTCAACTATGTTCAGGCTTGCAACCCAAAGCGTCTTTCTACCTTTCTTGGCTCTGATTGGTTGTTTTCGTTCCAGCCCGGTGGATTTTTGTAAATACCATAAGGAGCACTAGAAGAAGCCAGAGGAACCCGATTGTTTCACAGGTTATCTGTCCCATGTACTACTGTCAAGATATAGTGAAAGTGGACAACCGCAGTGATGGTTGGAGTTGGAAACACAAACAGAGGAGACAGACAATATGACACTTGACAGACAACATTCACTCCTTAGTGGCAAACCGCGCACGCTGAGCAATTAGAGAGCCGTCAAGGATTCTAGAACACATGTGAGGCATGAGGAGGTGCGTCTATTTCAAGAGGAGTGGCTTTTTTTCTGCAGCTGAAGTTAGCTGGCTGCAAACAAATCACACCCAGTCTGGAAGCAAAGAGTCCTCTGAGCAGCCTAATACAACGACAGAATGTTAGACAGCATTCCTCCTCAAACTGAATAAACAATACATGTGCTAAATTTACACTTTAAGCAATGCTGGACTGTGTCTACAAGATAGTACTATCATACAACAATAATCATGGCTCCATCTGCACAAAGCACACAAAAATGTGATTAAGTGGAACCTATCCAAATGTCAGTCAGTCTGCTAGGTTCGGGGCAAGCTGTGTAGCATGTATTGAGAGGGGAGCCCTATTAACTGTGTAGCCTTCCTGCTAACAGTTATAACCGTATAACGCAACAACTAATAACCCACAACTCTCCACAGTTTGTGACAATTTGTTTCTTACTTGTTTCAGTATGACATTTGAGAAATATCTCTTTGAATACATAAAAACCTTTAGTATTTTATTTCGGTTTATATACACACTATTTAAAAATATTTTGTTCTGAAAAGGAATATGGCAGTTGCTGGCATATCTTTTATTTTTAAATTCAGTTTTTACTTTTTTAATTGTTTACATACAATTTCTTCATATATTGTATCATTTTGTGGGGCCAAGAGAACCCTATAGTAATCAAAGCCTTCAGTACACATGTTGACATTAAAGTGTTTTTATATTCTGTAGTCCTGACGGTGGAATAAGCAACAATGAAAAACACATAGGAGACCAGTGAAATCCCCAGAAAGTAAAAAAAATAGACAAAGACAATGTTGGGTTTTCCCCACAAGGGGGCAGCACAAGATCTGTTTTCCAGTAAAGTTGTCAGAAAGACAATTCAGTCCACATGAATTATTGTTTTGTGGCATTTGTCTCTGTTAAAATGTGCCAAGACTTTGAAGTCAGGCTCTGCAGTGGGTGAGTGACTGGTGAATTGACTGAAGAAAATACCCATCACTCTGACAGCCGTTGTTTGATGTTAAAACAGACACAGTATCTACTTTGTGAGGTCATGTTATATAATCAAATGTACAGTATGTGGACATTGGATCCTTCTGTGAGTTCAAACAAAAAAGACAGAGTTAGAACAGTAGATCAAGAGGACTGGAGCGTAGACAGTCTACCATATTTACATTCTTTGTGCGGGCTGAGCTGTGGAATGGATCGACCACGCCTCACCTGATATGATCCTCAGTAGCTTCAAGTCTCCACTTGATAAAACAGGCTGATGTGATCTGATTATCATCATTGTGCACTTTGCTGAAGCTATTAAAACCTCATAATGATATTAAGTTGACCTCATAAAGATATGCACAGTGTATCGCAGTCTTGTTCATGCCAGGGAACAAATATATCTAATAATGTTGATTTAAATCAGATTCTTGAGGTTAGTGCTTTTGATAAACAGTATGCCCTCTTTTGAATTATTTAATTCACTTTTTATTGGTGAAGCAAGGCAAAACACAATAGGTGATTTAACATAGACAGATGCGACATATTTAAGAGCATTATAGTAAACGGAATAGTGCATAATAGGGCCTCCCTCCACCTACCAGCCCCTATCTCTATACTCTATCTCTATCACTATCACAGGAAATCGGTAGGCTTACATTATATCATAATTGTAATTTACTTTATGATGCATGTGCTTCATCCTGTCTATCTAGATTTCCTTGGGAAACATGCATGAACTGTTTTGGAATAAAATATGGCCATGTGGGTATAAAAATAACAGCAGAGTCGGATCATGCTGAGACATGTAGCTGAATAGGGTAAAAGGCACATGCATCTACGACTCCTACGCTGGATTAAAGCAGCTGCATAAAGAGTTACAGTCCTGGTGTAGATGCCTCCAGCATGTGAACTGATTTATAGTCTGGAGTGGGATTTCACACGATGACTGCCATGGCACCAGTGCAACAGTAGATGGATGTGCCCTACAGTATCAGGCTGCGTCATGTGTTCACTTCGTGGTTTTTCTAGAGTTACTGAAAAAGGATAATACCAAGCGTTTCTTCAACCTGCTTGGTGTCTTTACAATCAACAAGGGCAGCCCTAGCTGACCCATTGCAGTGCTAGCTTTATCCACATGGTATCTTCATAGCTGTTATAATCCTCAAGAGCGGCTATATTTTTTGCACGAGTTGCATGTCAGTTCCAACTATGCAATAACCCCCTAACAACTAGAGATCTTGTATTTGCATTGCCGTCTAATACAGATATTGTTAGTGAAAACAGTTTTTGCAACCAGAGTAACCAGACATTTTCCTTTCACACAGGTTTGAAGGATCTTTGTGCAATATGAAAGACAACGTCCCCATGCCATGTTTTACAAGGGGTTTTCCCATGATCCTGCAGCACTGCCCTGTAAGCACTTGAACTTTAAAGTCAAATAAAAATAGAGGCAGGCTGATACATAATCGGGCAGCCCATATTGTCAGCCAATATTGGCCTATCGTAGACATACTGATATTGGATTCTAGGGTCTAATTTTGCAAACCCTGCGCCCGCCCACACCTGCAGAGAAACGTAACCGACGCGTTACACGCAATTATCTCCAAGTCAAATCAGAACCCGACGATGCTACACACACATTCATATTTTTACTTGCAAGTGTAGCATGAAAAAAACCCACATTTTTGCTCTCACCTGTTGCCCACCCCTATTTAATTCATTTTTAATTGGGATGCACGATATGGTAAATGGTAAATGGTTGTAATTATTTTTATTTTGAATAATTTTCACCAAAAAAACTCTTAATTATATAGTTATAATATGGTATAATAATAATCAAACATGAGTCTGTTAATCAGTAGTTAATTCAAAATGTAATAAGATTTCCATGTGGTTTTATTTACACTATTTATTAATTGTAATGTAGTAAAAGCTTGCTGTGGAGGGAAAAAGTGACTGATGCCCTCTGTGACCTTCGACCCTGACACAACCTTTGGGCTGTATTTCAAAAGAGTTGTCTGCAAGCACATGTGTCTGAGGGGGTCAGGAGTCAGCTTCAAAACAGTGACAGCTCACTATGAGTGGATAACTTCAACCTAGCAATCACCCAAAACAGCCTCTGAGAATAACCCCTTACCTGAAGGTTGGGTGAAATCTTTCCCACCAGCACGCTGTCAACGTGCAGGCACAAACCAGCTCCAACCTGTTTGAACCTTCTCTTTGTAGCATAACAGACAAAAGCTCTACTGTAGTAAGTGCACAATTTATGAGATTTTAACAAGGAATTTTTGTCTTTGACACACCATGTCAACTGACGTCAGTCTTTAAAAATTTCCAGGGGTAAAAGTTCTTTTACAGGAGGTCTGATCTAATACAGGTAAAGATGTGACAAAAAAGTTATTAGGTAAGATGAGTTGGCTGCTGTTACCTTTGCTGTCACCTTATCTAATTCTTTTAAAGACAGCTGGTAAACACAGTCACTGAGGGATCAAGAAAGATGGACTCTGGATAAAGGTTGTATCAATGCTGAAATGTTGCAATGCTACATTCTCAAAACCAGCACTATCGTTTTAGGTCTTGGCCATCGTAGGTATTGTTATTTGCTGCATAAGCAGGGACACACAAATACTGCACATGCACAAGCATAGCTGTTAACAATATCAGTGAAGGCTATAGGATGCATGCACGTAGCTGATGTTTTTCCTTTTTTTTTTTTGATCATGGAATACAAACATTTCACAATCTCGCCATGACAAAGAGATAATAAAATAATCACTAGAATACCAGTGTCTGTCAAACTACTTCTTGATCTCAAGAAAACAAGGTTATATCACCGATCACATATTAAATTTGATATATATGGTATGTCATCAAATAACAATAACTTTATCTGCAGCTCAACAAAGAAACAACAAAATGCAAACATTTTATAAAAATCCAATAGTGGCACAAATCTGTCCTGATTACTGATTTATAACATTAGTACCATTCTAAGTACACATCAAGATGGTTTCTGGCATTTTAGATAGATCTTATCACACTGATGTATATTCAAGTGATCATTTTTTCTAAGTTTTGTTTTAATGAGTTATTGGAAGATTTTACCTCACAATGGACAGTTGAGCCCTGCTCATGACTGAGTTTATTAAAGATGAGTTATATGGAAAGGACTTGAAACTTGTTTCTGTCTCAGAAAGGTAAA